TAGTTTAAGCAACATGGACATTTATTAGCTCATGTCACTGGAAAAGATACTAGATTGGCACACCTTGGGATACAGCTGGACTCGGAGCTCAGTGTTCTCCAGTTCTCCCTCTCCCCTTTGAGGCTCTGCCTCCCTCTCTGTATTCATTTCATTCCAAGACAGACCTTTGAGGAAAGAAGCCTGTAAGGCCTGCGAACCATAGATTGAGATCTAAAAGGAAGAGCAGCTGTTTTCTTCCCCACCTGTACTGCACCCCCGGGCAGCACAAGGCATTGTGACCGATTTCACCTGAGTCACCTGCAGGCCCTTCAGAAACCGTCATTATCAATGAGGTGTATGTTTTCTGTGTTCCTGTGAGCTACAAAGACGCAAAATCACAGAGACTTAAACTACAAGTTTATTTCTTTGGCACATAAAAGTGTGTGGATAGGCACTCCCAGACTGGTATGGTGGGCTTGGCTCCACAGAGTTCTCGGGAACCCAGTAACTTTTTGTTGTTGTTTTGCTCTTCCCAGGGTCACCTCACAGCCCCACATGGCAGTTCCCACTCTGGCCATCATGTCCCCTTATCAGTCATTAGAACAGAAGAAGGAACTAAAGGTGTGTGCACCAAGGCCTCTTAAAGTTCCCAGAAACTGTCATTCAACATTTCTGCCTCCATTCCATTGGCCAGAAGTTGGTCACACAGCCCCACCTACCTGCCAGGGAAGGGAAGAATGTAAACTATATTCCCGGTAGCTATTTGACCAGCTGGGACTTGGAGAGTCTATTTGGAAGAGTGGGTAGAGAAAGGATGGCTATTGGTGACCATTTTTGCCCTGGTATGATCATCTAAATGTCTCTCCTGTCTCCCACTCTCTCCTCATATCTTCTTCGTGATCCCACTTTCCAGATAGATATCTTTAAATGTTACTGATGATTTCCATTGAGCTGTTGAGTCACACATGGGTCAAGTTGTTCTAAATTTGTCTAGGCCCTGAGGGAAGCTGTGACCCAGATGAGGCCACATCTCAATCTATTCTGGGATCCCAGGACCAGTGCATGGGAAACATGAAAGATGGAGAGACAGGAGTCTTGTCGTCACTATCTTGTCCCATCTCACTTTTAACCCCAGCTCTTACACACATTCGTGTGTATACACACACACACACACACACACACACACACAAACTCTGTTGGGCTCCCCGACCCATGTCAAATCTTTCTGTCATTTTTTTCCATGTCAGTACTCATTAGAGGGTACAATCATCTCACCCTACTATATCCCATCCCCCATCCACTAGAGTTTTCAAAAGTTTGCTAAACAGTACTCATAACTATAGAATACATATAATATGTATTTCTGAAAATTAATTTGGCAGGAAGATTTTGGAAAAGCATATTATGTTTATATTAATTAATATAGGAGTATTGTTTTAGCCATAGTCATAAACTTAAGGAAATGGGCCAAAGAGAACCAAGCGCAAACTGTCTTTACAAAGCGGTAGGTGTAGATCAGCCTACATTTCATAGCTCCCTCCTCAAACCACTGATCTTATTAAGCTTCTCTGGAAGCCAACAAGGGATAATAAATTTTGCTATTAAGTGACTTTTGACCTGCTTAAGACACCTGTTCTCTCTGGAATCTCCTCAGTTTACTCAAGAACCAGAGTTGAACTTCAGGATCCGTAGGTTTCCTTCAAGCCATAAAACAGATGGCATAGTTCATCAGGAAGAAGGAGCTTGGGAAGGGGTGGCGTTAGATTGTCTGCAATTTGCTTGTAAATATGTCCTTATCAGTGAGATGCTGGATACCGTGGGCAGGCTGACTATACTCTACGCCTAGAGGAGATTAGTCATCAAAGTAACCGAAACACAGCAAAGGTAGTTAGCCCTGAAGGACCCTGATCAAAAGTCTGTACTGCAGAAATACCTAGGCAAACACTTCTACATATTGCTATCGCGAGCCACCCAGAGGGTTTGTTATTGTATAAGGGATGCTGGAAATCATTCTTGCATTAATAAAATGGATTGTCCAAACAGCTACAGGTACAAAACTCTGGCAGGCCCAGTGGACTCAATTTTGGGGTAGAATCTAGTTCAACTAGAACTCTATTTGGTCCTGACCTCCCTCACTTAATGGAATAGTCCACTGGCTATCCAAGTGGACCAGCAGTTCTCAAGCAGGGATGACTTTGCCCTCCCCCCGCCCTCCCTCAGGACATTGGCAGCATCCAGAGGTATGTCTGGTTGTCACAACTGGAGAAGTGGTGCTACTGGCATCTAGCGAACAGAGCTCATGATGCTGCTGACATCCTACAGTACACAGAACAGCTCTCTAACACAGAGTATTGGGTTCAAAATACAAATCCTGGCAAGGTTGAGATACCCTGGTGTAGACAGTTGTCTGACTCCTGCCTTCAGATTATCTGGTTGCACGTGCCTAGAACAAATCTTTAACCTAAGATGCTTGCTGGGCAGCCTAAACTCACAGAATAGAGACTTTATAACATTTACAAGACAGGTTGGATGACTTGGGGGGGCTGGATAGCTAATAAATATGTGAATGTGGCAGAATTTAGAATCTCGACTCATTTTAACATCGTGGGGGAGGGGTTCCAGTTCTCAGCCGCTTCTAATGAGAGGCTCCAGATATTCCTTAAAGTACCTGACGTGTGAATGGCCAGGCCTGCTCAGGTCAGCTCACAGAAGGAAATGAACCAGCGCAGAAGGGACAAGGGGTGGGATGGGAGGAGGCCTGAGATATTTTCACTTTCACTCTGTAAGACCAAGGAACCCAAACACCAGATACAGAGAGACTTTCTCACCTTTTCACTTTGCTTATCTAATCCCAAATTGCACACTATCTAGAGATAACAAAATGCTTATTTCTCTACTCCTTCCCTCTCACACATGTCCACTCCTCTATCAACACACCAACACCTCAAAAATCGTCCCCCTGGAACGATCCAAGGCTTCAGACTCAAAGAAAAGCTAAATACAATGTCCAGTCTGTGATGAGGCAGATTCTTAATCTGTCAACAGAGATGACCATCAGTCATCAACAGAGAGACACCCTCGGACTAGGTGGTAGTGCTGGGGCGGAGAACCTTCAGAGAAATATCAAATGTTTGACCTTCAGCCTGGTCCCTCCTTATCATTATTTTGACCTAACAGTTTGAATGTATAGTACTAAATCCAAATACTAAGTTACCCTTGCAATTGAGGCTTCTGCTCCCTCCAGAGAGAACTCACATGGAAAGAAATGGTCCCCTTGCTTTGGAATGGGACCTCTCCACTGAACTGGGCCAGGTCCAAACCAGGTGTGGCCCAGAGCACGTGTCCTTCTAATAAAATTAAAGAAAAACAACAGCAGTGACCACGGTGCCTGGAGCTCCCTTAGATGGGACACTGACAGCATGCAGACGGCATGCCATCCCCAGGCCCAGCTGTGATGCAGTGAAGCTCATGGAGAAGGAAAGGTGGAGCTTGCTTCCAATTTGGTCTTTGGAGATGGAAGACCAAGCAGGTGGCTGGACAGCTTCTCATCTAATCTGAAAATTTAACAGCACTCTTTGCATGCAGTTTTAACTCTAAAATATGTTCTTACCTATTAATCTGTTCCATTTCTCTCAAACCCTGTAGGGTTAAGTTCAGGTGGGAGAAAGTATTTAACTATTACTTCCATTTAACAGATTAATAAACTGGGACCAAGAACTTAAGTAATTTTGCTAAAACTGCACAGCTAGGTAGATGGTCAATCCGAGCCTGCAGCCGGGGTGCCTGACTTCCAGACCCATTTTCTCTCCACTAAAGCAGGTTCTGAGTGTGGCCCCCACACCATCAGCTTCAGCTGGGAACTTGTTAGAAATGCAAATTCTTAGACCCCACCCCAGACCCACTGAATCAGAACCTCTGGGGTGGTAAAACCTCCATCAGAGTTTTAACCAGCCTTCCCAGAGGTGCTGTTAGCACACGCTACAAACTCTTCTCAAGCCTGTGCATTACACACACTCTTCTGAACCCCTCATGTTTGTTTCCAGAATGTCCATAAAGTATATACTAGGAAAGCCTGGTGCCCTAAAGCTTGGACCACTCAGACTCCTCAAAACGTTTTCTTGGAGTAAACTTCCGGAGTCAGCTCTCTGTGCTGGGTGGGAGTGGGAACCTCGGCTCTCCTTTGACTCGGTCTATCTGGGAACTTTCCTGCCCTGGCTAGACTTTCATCTCCTTAGTAACCGTGGAAAGGAAGTGTACCTAAAAATATTTCTTTAAAATTTTCTTCTACCTGATACTTTCAGTTTGTTACTATAATAATTTTATACATGAATAGCATATAAAATATACTTTAAAATTTTAAAGGATCTGAGAAAGAGCTTTGGGTCAACTCTCCTCCACCCCCTTCCACACACACAGACAACGCACAGTATGCCGAGCACACGGAAGGCACTGACTCAATATTTATTGAATTTGTTAAAACCTGCTCTCAGACTCAGAGGAGGAAAGCAGGCTGCCAGGAGGACTCCATTTGAAACCCGTCAGCACAGGAGACCTTAGAAGAGTAATAACACTCTGATATTTGAGCCTAATACAGACGACACATGATTTTTATTGTATATATCTCATCACAGAAGGAATGGGGGAGTTCACATAGCTTAGTTATTAGTTCAGTTATTGGTTCATTCATCCAGTCATCGAATCCCCCAATGGGCCAGCCCAGCTCGCTTCCAGGCATTGGAGCTGGTGCGATCAATAAGAGTCTGCCTGCGTGGAGCTTACAGTCTGTGGGAAAGACAGAAGGTTAAACAAGCGATTTACAAAGAAGCGCAGGTGTGCTGTCACAGGACACAGTGGATACAGTCAGAGCACACAGTAGGGTAACAGAAACATGCGAGGGCCGGGTGCAGAAAAACCATACGGGTCACACGGCAGGATGGAGGCCTTGGTCCTTGGAGGCCCATTCAAACAAAGCGGACAAAACCCACCCCAAACTGCGCTCAGCACACGAACAGAGGCGAGAGTAGAGGAGGAGCCCTCTGGTCTGGCCGATGTCAGCGGGCGGGTCACTGCCTCGGCTTTTTGGAGAGGATGGAGAGGATGCTGAGGGTCAGGAAGATCACGCCGGCCGCGCCCCCGACGGCCAGGCCCAGGAGGCTGCCGTGCACCTGCATGGCCTGGCAGCGCTCCCCCGTGTAGAAGAAGGCGTGACCCGAGACACACCTGGGGAAAGGACACAGGGGTCATGTGGGAACCCGGAGCCTCCCGCACCTCCTAGCGACAAGCACCGACACGTCAATAGCGGCGGCGAGCGCTTACTGAGCTGCTCCACGTGCCTGGGCCCCCTCGATGCTTCATGTGGGCCAGTCACTGAATCCTGTAACAATCCTTTGAGGCGGCGCTTACCACCGGGCATTCTCACCAACCTCACTTTACAGAAAAGTTAAATAACTTGCTCAAGGTCACGAGGTTAGTGTTTTACACATGAAGTCTCACCCCCCCAGGTCTATTTCCAGACCCGGTACTCTTGGCCTGCACAGGCAAAGTTCAGGAGGAAGGCTTGGGCTACTGAAACAATATGTTGCCTGACACTGGCTCAGACTATAAGCTACAGGGGAAATTCTCCAGATAGTCTCAGTGCATTGGTTGGACCCTGAAAGCTTCTAGGCAATATCAATCATAGTGTTACTGTAAGGGGAGGTGCTTGGCACACCGTAGGCCCATAATGGCTATGCCTTCCTTGATGTTGTGTTTTTTTTTTAAAATGTTATTTGTTATAATGATCAACTAATCTGAGAACCAAAGTGTTAAGGGTGGTGTTTCAACTCTTCCAGGGGCACAATTCCAGCCTTAGTGTCCTAAGCATTTCTATCATCGAGTCTACCCCAGAGCGGAATGACATGATCAGAAGTTAAGGCCTCCTTTATTAACCCTGGAACTATTTTACCTTTAAAGGCCTCTTCTCTAGACTAAAAATGGGCTTCCTAAAAATTAGTGAATCCTAGCAAATTTGTGCGGTGTTTCTCCAGCCCAGTCCCCTCCGAATGCTGCTGATTACCGTAGAGGAGCTTATTCCACAAAAACTCCAAGCTGCAGGCTTGTGGGAGAGCAATAGTTTGGTTGAGAGGCTGACACACAAGTAGAAACCCTTCCTAACCTCCTAACCCTGAGAAGGGTAAAGCTGGTCGGGCACGTGCTGAAATCTGGTATCCAAGGACCTGGCAGCAAAGAGGTGCAGCCTTGTGACTGGGGAGCCCTCAAGAAACAAGGTAGGCATTCGCCAACAGAAGGAACCATGGCTTTTTGGAAAAGTGATAAATTCAGGGGCTGATGTAGGGCAAATAAAGGATGATCCTGGAACACCCCATGATGCCAGAAAGTAGTGCAGTGTTCCTGAAAGCATGAGGCTTGTGTAGAAAGCGTCAGTCTGGACAAGCCCCCCGAGACCAAACCTGGGACAGTACAAGCAAGAAGATAAATAGTGGCATACTGGAATACAGCCCAGAGAGTAAGGTAAATATTTATGAATCCTTGGGGCTGTAAATAAATCATTGTATGGATAAATGAATGGGGAGGAGGAGACAGCTGTTCTTTATAGAAGAATTTCACTTCATTCATGCAGAGAGAATGGAAAAAATAGAAAATCACCATAAAAATATTAGAGTGGCGGTTATTCCAGTGAGATCCGCCAATGGATGCGGAAAAGCGGGATGTCTGCATGTCTCAGAGTGTCTCTCGCAAGATATGTGTTACCTACAGAGTGAGGAATGGTAAGAAGCCTGGTGGGCACCTGCTTGGCCAGGCGATCAAGGTACCAGTAGTAACACATATTAACATTAGATTAATGATACACTGAGAAGGGCTTATCTCATCTTTGCTCTTCTTGCCCAAAATGTACAGCCTCAATATAATGATGGGAAAGCATCAGATAAACCCCAGTTAAGGAACAATACACACTAATTGACCCGTACTACTCAAGAGTATCAAGGTAATGAAAGATAGAGAAAGACTGAGGACTTGTCCCAGATAAAAGGAGGCTAAGGAGACATGAAAGCTACAAATTATGTGGGATCCTGAATTGGATCCTGGGAGAGAAAGAGAACATTGGAGGAAAAACTGGAAAATCGGAAGACCTATAATTTAGTTAATAGTGTTGTTCATAGTATTTAGCTGCATTCGTGTTCATTTATTTCCTGGCTTTGCTAACTGCTCTATGGTCACGTCAGATAAGATGTTAGCATTAGGGTATGGGGAACTATGGAGTATTTCTGCAATGTTTTGTAAGTCTAAAATTGTTGCAAAATAAAAGCCAAAAATAGAACTATTGGAAATCGAAAAGAACTCAGAAGAAATGTAGATGAGCCAAGCAGAACGGTTCCTACATCTGCTACTCTTCTGTCAAATGGAACTGATACTTCTGTCATCACGTAAATCCTTTTATGAAATAGTTCAATGCAAATAACAACCATTAAAAAAATAATTATTAATAGAGCAAATTGTGCAGACAGACAGACCTGGATGCAAGCCCCAGCTGCAGTATTTACCATCTGGGTATTTTAGACAAAACACTTAACCTCTCTAAGCTTTAACTTCCTCATGTACTAACTGGAGATAGCAGGGCCAGTGTGTCACAGGGTGACTGCGAGGATAATTTATGTGATACGTGTATACTGCTAAGGAAAGCCTGTGACACATAGCAAGCAGCCCAAAAATATCAGGTACTCTCACTACTCTCAGTAAAAACCATAATTATAATAATAGCACAGCAGAACTAATAGGCAATAGAAATAGTAATAAAAATTAATAACTAGTAAGAACACGGGCAGTCAGGGATGATAGAAGCTTGGTCCTGAGTCCTGCTGTGGCAGGTCATGCAGCAGAAAGCCCCTGGGGTAACAGCTCTGGTTGTTTGTGAGACTGTGGGGAAGTTTTGAAATCCCAAGAACATTCAAGATGTTGCTGACAATGCCCCAGAGGCAGGGAAGTGAAAAAAGTCAAAAGATAGGAGATTTGGGACTCCTCTGCCCCCGCCAGACCCCTGCTCTGCCCTGGCAGCTGGGGCGCAGCTCTGTGAGCCAAGGGCAGCCACGCCCAGCTGCCCATCTGAGGGGTCCTTGCCCCAACCCCAGGACAGTGCCTTTCACCGGCTGAAGCACTCGGCTCCCCTCTGCAGGCCCGCCACCCGCCTCCCCAGCCGCACAGCCTACCTGCAGCTCGCCATGCCCTTCACGTTCACACAGATGCCTTCGTTCTGGCAAGGGTTCGGGTCGCATGGGTCTCTGAAGTACGGTGGCCAGTTGTGGTCTTCCAGGGGGCCCGTGCTCTCCACTGACCGCTTCTGCCTGCTGGGTTGCCCTTTGCCCTGGCTGCCAGGTAGGGCCTTTTCTACCAAGCCTTCTTCTGAGGCCTGCTGCTCCTGGCCGTGGAGAACAAGGCCTTGGGGGTTCAGCCTTGTGTCTCTAGGGGTGACTTCAGTCCGGTTGAGGTAGGTGATATCTAAGGAGGAAGACCTATGGTTAACATCTGACTACACCAACTTCACTCCCAGGGTGGCCTCTATCCCTTGTGGACATCACCGTCAATGGCACGAAAAGCGACTTTGAACCCAGCTGACTCTCATAGTTATTTTTATTTTCAAAGTCATCCAGTCACATTTTTATTTAACTTGAAAAAGCAAATATAAAGTTTGCATGGATAGGCGGACTGAAACTAAAGCCAGCGAAATGTCATATTCGATAAGTTCTCAAAAAAGTGACACTAAAATTGCAGTTTCTGCCAAGGACAGTTAAACCAAAGATGGAGGTCCTTTTGCAATAGAGTAAAGTGTGGTTCTCTCACAACATATCTTTTCTTTTTAAAAACCTAGTCCTCAAGACAACAACAGCAACAACAACAAAAAGCACCCTCCAGGAGATACTTAAAAATCAGTATAAAATCAGCAGGACAGGGTTATTCATTCAGGAAGATCAAGACAAGTACCTTCAAAGTCCACAAACATGATAAGGTCGTCATTTTTAAGGAAACTCCTCCTTTTCAGCATCTGGTGGGAGATGAAACCACTCCAGCCCCAGTCAATGCTTCTGTAACAGCTACAGTTCTGGTCATAAGTTCCCACGATGGATGGTCTGTCCCAGATGACTGAGTTGTTTATTGCTGCAGAGTTACAGGTAACACAAAATCACATTACCTTTTCACACTTCACTTTCCAATTTGTCTTTAATGAGTATATAGAGCTTTGTTAATCAGGGGGGGAAAAATAGGTAGAAAAAATCAGGTTATTGACTCTTTCCAGGAGAATTAAGACTCAGAATTGGAAGGGGGAAGAGCAGAGAAGCACAGCTCTGAATGATCAATTGTCTACTCCTGAGTGATTTCCTCAATGACTTGGGAGAGGCAACTATAGCTTCTTCCTTTTAAGGCTTAACTCTCTTCATGTGAAGAAGAAAAAAAAAGTTTGTCCATTTATGTATTGGTGTGTTTGTTTGATGAATATACTGATGATCAGGAATATTTTAGAAGCCAGCGCATTGGTTCTGCACAGAGCCTAGCACATTCTGAGAATCTGATAAATGATTAGCAGTCTTCTGTCTTCTCATTTAGACCGAGCTCCCTGAAGCAGCAACCGCCTGATCTGCTTGTATTCTAAGGACTTAGCAGATAGCTGGGCACACTGCAAGCCCTGAATAGATACTTGATGAGTGAATTCAGAAAAGAGAAGGAAGATAAGATGGCTTTGAAAATTTTAACTTAACACTCCAGCATGACTATGTCACTGATGTGCCTGAGGAGAAGACGTGGGAGAAACGTTAGTCTCTCTTACACAGAGAATCACGTCTGTTGGCCCTTCCAGGTTGAGGGGCGGCCCCTAGAACCACTTACCTGGAGATGTCTGGGACTTAGAGGTGGTGAACACCATGCTTGAGGACATCCTTTTCCTGACATCGGGTTCCTGGTCCAGTATTGTCATGATCGCCTGCCTGTTTTCCACTGGCCACTCCAGGATGGCGTCATTCTGCCCGCTGAGCAGGTGAAAAGAGAGCCCCAGGTAGCCAGAGCTGCTGGAGTTCAGCCTACCGTGAGGGTATAGGGTCAGCCCAAACGCATATCCCTCTGAGTTGTAGAATCGAGGGCTCAGGAGCGAGTCGCCCTTAACCGTGTTCTGAAGGACCTGGGAGAAGTGATGTATTGTCCAGACCCCCGCGGGGCATGGAGTTTCTGTCAGGGTGATGTCATCCAGGTAAATTCCCCCATTGGAGTTCTGAGGGTCGCCTTTTGTGCCCTGGAAAAGGTAGCGAAACTTCTTCTCTTCTCTGAGCGTCACATGGGCAATCTTCCAATTTTGGTTAGCATCTCCTGCGGACAGCGAATAGGATTGGTGACAACTGTGGCCAACATGTATTGAGCGACAACTATGACCCCGGTACTGTGCCAGTTACTTCACGTGAATTACCTTATTGAAACCTCACAACAACCCTACAGGATAGGTCCTGTTTTAAACTGGTTAGGGAACTTTTCTGAAGTTGCATGTCTAGTAAGGGAAAGTAGCTATATGAAGACACACTATGATTTATTTTAAAATTCATATTCAAATCTTAATCATGAAATTCTTCTCCATTATCATTCAGTTTCACAGGTCCCAGGTTTTCTCTGGGTTTGATATTATAAATACGCCCCAGCCTCCTAGTGTTAGTGGTACTGGATACCCAAGTATTAGGCTGAGCCTTATACAAGAGTCATTTTGTAATCCAAAAGTCACACAACGGCAATTTCATATGGTCCCACCTGTGACTTGATGCCAGGGAGATCAAGAAGGCTCTAGAGCAGATGATAACTTAGAGGATGAGCTGGATCTCCCCTATGCAACACTGACTCACTCCCTAACATCCAGTTTTTTCTCTCTTCTTCATAGTATCTGAAATTCCACCAAGTAGGGAATCTATCCCCTTTTTAAAAAACAAATAATCACAGAAGAGTTACCACTATCCAGATTCCCACATTCTAGTGAATATTGGGTCTACTTCTTTTTTCTGAGCTTGAACTGGGAATTTTGAATAAAGAGCTGAGATAAAAGGTGAGAAGGCTGTTCTAGAACGTGGGGTCCTGGGCCTGGCAGCATAAGAAGCCAGGAAAAGAGTTTGAGGGTCTAGGGAGAGGAAACCGCCAGGCTAGAGCAATTGGAATCCCCCAGTGATCTGCCCCTGCTTTGATAGTGTGCCCAGGGTGTACCCTAGCATTGGGCTTAAAGAAGAGAAGTCAGATGCTACATCAAAGTAGGCATCGTGTTGGCTAAAATGAATTCGTACAGATGAGTGTTACAGAAGTTTAACCTGAAGGTCAACTGGCCAGAGGGCTTTGAAAGTGTCTCTTTTCCTTTGTGTGTTGAAACCAGAAATCTTCTCATAGAGCTCAATTTCCCCCCAAATTAAGAGCCCTTTTATCTACCTTTCTTCTCCCTCATTCTCGCTAAGGACAACTTCAAGGGACAGGTCTAACCATACTCTGTCTTCTGGAGTGGAGCTGGTTATGTAACCTGTGTGGCTGGGTTATATGTATACATAGGAGAGAGCTGAAGAAGACATATAGCGGCACCTGTACCATACGAACTAATGTAACTGACGTCTCCTGGGGACAGGGCCGGGGTCAAGGGGAGGACACATGGCTGTGAAACGTAATGGGCACCAGGAGGTCTGGAATAGGAACAGAGACGCAAGGTTTGGACTGTTCCCAGGAGGGTTGGATCATGGGAATTCTGAAGAAAAAAAAAGAATTAAGGATCCCTTTCTTGCTAATAACTGTCTTTTTATTTTCTTCATATGGGTTGTTATCATGAGATTGAAATGTGGACTTGGTACCAGGAGGAAGACCTGAGGGGCCATCACCAAATGGGCAGTGGCTCATCTTTAAGAATGTTTCATTGAGATGCTTCCATAGAGCTGAATCAGGCAGGCAATGGACAGTACTAAGATTGCTTGGGACAGACAACTGTCATCCTTGTTAGCTCAGAATTGTCATCTGTAAGGGGATCCTGGCCTTTATAAAAACGTAAGTATTTTGCACGTAAGTTTGCATAAAAACATTAAAGACAGAGATATATTTTGTATGTATTTTGGTTAAAAAACACATTTTGTACAAGTTAAAAACTATTCAAAACGGTTGTAACTATCTTGACTTGTATATCACATAAATACCAAATGATATTCAACCAAACTTTTAGAAAAGCTTCCTTGACAAATCATTATCAGAATGGACTGCTTTAAAAATCCAGTCAGATGACACTTCCAGGGAACTTAGGCATACTTTGAATTCAGTAGAAGTCAATGCACAGCAGTGTAATGAACTAAATCAAGCATGAAAAGGTTGCTTGGTTGATTCATACTTATGAGGATAACACAGCTTCCTATGGAAGTGAGGGATAATAGATCCCATCAATGTTGATGAGGCTCTAATTCATTTTCTCACCGAACATTTATAATCCTTGGTGACATAGCGAATTCTCGACTTCTAAAGGGCACCTAGCTGTCACCCCTCCATTTGATGAAGATGCTTGTAAATTTCAGCCAGAAGAGTGAACCCCTCAAAACTGTTACCTGCAGAATTCCTGGGTAGCCCAGAGTGGCCTGGGGGGAGGTCATTTGGGCACCTGTTCTTATGAGCGGCCCCTAAGGAAGCTCCCACCCTTCAAAAGCAGCAGCTTCTTCCAGAAGTTCTCAAAGAATTCATCCTTCATTTGGACTCACTCTGAGAAATTCTTTATTGAATGATAAAATAGGAAATCATGTCTCGCTTTCCTTGGTTATGAATGAACCACCACCACAATAAAATGATGTAAATACTGAGCTTTAGAACCCCGGGTATTGACTTACAGCCAACCGACTACCATCCAGCTGACTACCTTAGCATTCTAAGGTTTTCGTGCTGACCCTCTTCTAGAAATACATAGAACATCCCTTAGTAATATGCAAATGCTTATAATGAAGTCAACATAAATGCTTATAATGAAGTTCATATATACAAATGGCTTAGTTCTCATAACTTTAAGTGACTTCAGCATATGAAATAATGGGGTCATTCATTTTTCTGAAACATGCAAAAACACAATCGGTCAAATATTTGACCACTGTCTCTCCAGCAGCCTCAGTCCCTGCTTCCCTTCCACCTTCCAACCTCCACCCTGGAATCACGAATTGTCTCTAAAAAATCACAAATTTTCTCTGCCCGGGCTTTCTCCAAAGCTCTAGTGAAAACTGAATTTATATATTCTGATTGGCCTCTTACAAAGTGTGCTCAAACCTCACCTAGCCCCTCACGGCTCCTTCTAATATCTGAGTGGTTAAAACATTCATTGCGTGGTTCGAATATGCTAGACGCTGTGCGGGACATTTGGGGGGATGGAGGAAAAGGGAAGACGAAGAGAAAGAGAGGGGAAATGGAGAAGAAATGAAGAAAGGGCAAGAGGGGTGAAAGGGGGGAAGGGAAGGAAAAAAGAACCAGGATCCCAGGTTGTAAGCCAAACGAGTCCTTGAGGAACGCCTCCACGTACCTTGAAAGGTCTCCACCTTGACCAGCTTGCGCACATTGCCCGTGCTGTCATCTCTCCTGACCCAGACGACAAGTCTGTCTGAAGGGCTTCCTGTCATCTTATAGAAAAACTGCAGGCACTGCTGCTTCCTCTTTGGGTAAAGAATCCGAGACTCCAGCAAGGCTGCCTCCTCCGCCAGCCCCGAGCTGGTGTTGAAGAGCATGAAGTAGCCGGCCCCTGCGGAGAGAGCGCCCGAGGCCCCTCGCTGGCTGCCCACAGCCCAGGGGCCCCTACCCCGCCAAGTGACATAGTGAGCAACACATAGTGACATAGCCATTAGCCGGGGAACACAAGCTAGAATTCTGGGGAAAATCAAAAGGCGGCTGTTTGTCAGTCTATACTGTTAGTCTCCATGGACGGACTCACTGGCTAAACCCGCAGCTCCCCACCGCTTGTTTTGACTGGCTTACTTCCCAAGCTGGTGAAACGCAGACCTCTGACTTCAGGGAAGATGGGCTTCAAGCAAAGTTTGAAGGAATTTAGTGCCTATGAGGGGAATTCTATTTTCCTCATTGACTTCATTGTTTAAATTAGAGATTCATTCCAAGGACAAGAGCTGGCCTCCTAGTTGTGCAAGAAACTGTGGGATTCCAAGGATTAGGGACTGGGTTTTAAATATTCACATTGTTAAGGGTTCAGTTTCACCTGTGTCTAGCCTAATGCCTGGGTGTGTTAGGAGTGGTATAGAATCATCCTTACTGTGTCCTAAGGAGGGGCATTCAAAGCATAGTAGGGACTACTGAGGATTTCTCCTGTATATAAGGAAAGCTTTGAAAGAACACTGAAAAAGAGGGGGAAAGTGTCCACATTTGTGCCAGAACTGGGATTTGCCCAAGTCAGATATCTCGAAATTCTCTCTCCCCAAATAAGCAGCCAGCTAAATGAATACGTCACTTAAAAAACCAGCACACTTTTCAAAGTCAAGCTCAAAGAACAGTTCTTGAATATAAAGAAGTCATTTAAACAGTACTCTAGAATTTAACCTCTTACTAAATGTTTCACTCAAAACATCCCACAAAGTAAAAATGAAGAGAGCATCTAGAACAGGCCTAGGTGCTGCGGCAGGAGGGTCCCTGCTTCATCCTGCCTCCCACATGGGGTGTGTGCCTTGTTTAAATGAGCTTTCCACATGGCTTAAAAATGTCGTGATGACCCTGGTCAGCATGGCTCAGTGGTCAGCGCAGTGGCCCACACACCGAGGGGTCACAGGTTAGGTTTCCAGTCAAGGGTATGTACCTGGGTTGCAGCTTCTATCCCCAGCCCCAGTCAGGGCACATGTGGGAGCCAACCAATCGATGTGTCTCTCTCGCATGGATGTTTCTCTCTCCCTCCCTCCCTTCCTTCTACTCTGTCTAAAAATCAATGGAAAAAATATCTTCTCGGGAGGATTAACCAAAAAAAAGTGTCAGTCATCAATTATTTTTATATTGATTACACATTGAAATGTTAATATTTTAGATATATTGGATTAAGTAAAATACATTATTAAAGAGACTTTCCCTTGTTTCGTTTTTATGTGACTGTGAGAAAATTGTACATTTTATATGTAGCTCAGATTACATTCCATTGGAGGCACTACTGTAGAGACATTACCCTTATTTATGAAGTCATGTCTTAGCAACCACATCAGTTTTGTCATTGCTTAAATGCACCTTTCTTTTGCATTCCCTGAACCTTGGTGCTTTTTATTGAGTTAATAATAAAGATAAGAGAAATATTCTTTGTCCACATTTAGAATTCCAGGTTTAATAACTAACATTCCAAGGCAAGATGTGCTGGCTGCCATTACCAATTAAACCTGATGAACCACCGCAGGTGTTTACTTTCCACCTTCACCCACCTGTGCATCGTCCCACCAAGGTGTGATCCACTTGTCCAGGCCGAGAGCTGTCCTCGTGGACCCAGTCAGCATCATCTCTGGTACCCTGAATCATCCCACAGATGTTTGCCTTTTCAAAAGCACAGTGATCCAAAAGGGTGTGAGTTGTGGCTGTAAATGACATTTTTGTCACCTGGTTAAAAATTAAAGGCATCTTATTCCAAATACCTAATGTCTTAGGTCACTAATACCTCATTGCTCAGATTCTACAGGATCATGAGCCCTTCATTTTCTTGACTTTCCTCAAATGCAAATCCTACCCATCAGATCTTAGAACTTGCCAACACACATGCAGTCCTACCCACCACGCAGAACCATGGAGTTAAATAATAAGAAGGCCTCTCATTGTGCTTTTCTAGAAACACCAACCCAAACTCCTGGAGATCAAGGACGAGGTACCTATGATACTGGACTTTGTAGATCCTCTCTATATACATGTGGGAGAGAATGAAAGACTGTGTCTCTGAAGACTAGTGGGGTCATTTTAGAAACTATCCCAATTCTAAGCATTAGAATATTCTAGGAGCAACTACCTGGGTAAAGAATTTTCCCAGACACAAAATACTTTCAAGCCTACCACCTATCTCAAGCTTTACCTAATGATGCACCCTTCCGAAAGAAGCTAAAAAAGTTGGTTAATCACAGCTTCTTAAATTGCTCTAACACTTTCACTTTACAAAACACAACTACATACTTGATTTTCATAACCGCCTTGTGATATAGGTGCCACCATTTGTTTCTACTCTAGAGAGAGAAATAAGGTTATGTAGTTTGTCCGTCTTCTTTAGCTAGAACATGAAAGAAGAGTAAAGGAAAATGTCCAGGAGACCTGTAGGGCGGGGAACCCCTGCTGGGGCTCGCTGACCTGGGCCCCGGCCCCAGGGGTACTCACTGCAATTGTACATTCGGTTCAGCCTCTCCAAATCGATGTCACTGAAATCCAGGCGCTGCCCGATGATGGAGTTAAACTCGGGGATCTTGGCTGTGATGGTGGGGACACTTTCATTCTTGTTAAATGAGAAAGGTGCGTAGTGCATTAGAGACTCATAATCATAGGGCGTGTTGAGGTCTGTGATGAAGCTGTCATCATAGGTGTTAAAGTTGTGCTCATAACCTGTCAGCAAAAGAATCCACAGGTCATATCATTTTCCTGTCCTACCCTCTTTGACTAGATACTCAACTGGAGACCAAGAAAGGAAAGGGAGATAATGCATATCTATATATACATATTTTATAATTAGCATAGAAATATAAAATACATATTACTAATTAATATTAGCTGATAACCATATACTATATAATAGCATGCAAATTTATAATAATGGATATTAAAATACATAATTAATATGCACTTATGATTGTAATTAATATACACATGAATTATTAAATATATGTATATATTTAAATCAAAGATTCTTTTTATAAATAAATGTTTATGTATATGTATAAGGGTTTAAGAAAGAGAAGATAAAATATCAAAAGGGAGACAGGTATTCCAAATGGCAGGAAACAGAATTTCTGGGTTCTGAAGAATGTTCAGAATTGATGCGTCTTGCTAGTAGCTAAGTACCTCACCCACCAAGAGCTGCACCTGGCCAGCTCTTCCCAGGCAAAGGAGCCCTGAGGGGCAGAGGGAAAGGTAAGTAGCTGTCTAGAAAGGGGCACCCTTTCCATCAAAGCTCACATCCTTCTGTTCCAGAAAGAAAGATAAAGTGGGAAGAAGAAAACTGACTTGCCTTTCAAAATAAGAAAGGAAAATCTTTCTATGAGATTAGCCCAAGAAGATGCTATGTCCCGCAGTGTGACATGCTGAAGTGAGAAACCGTGTGGCCTTTCAACTGTAAAACGAGAATACCGATGCTTGGTCCTTTCAGCTCACGGGGATTTTAAGGGGACTGAACTTGACAGGGTCAAAGCATTTTCAGTGGTGAGACAGGACTGCAAGGAACAAATGCCCCAAACAGGGAAGGGGGAAGTAATTCTTTCCAGAGCACGTGGTCCTAGGTGTCAGCTGAGGGGTGGAATCGTAAAGAGCATCCGGTGGTGTGAGGACTGGGGATCGGGTCTGAGGCCTCCTGGTGACTATTGGTGGCACCTTAAGGAAGGCACTTTTGACTCACTGAGTATGTTTTCTTTAGCTTTCAGTAAAATTATCACATCAGAATCAATATTTTTATTCTTTTATTAATCAAGGATTCTTATTAGAATGCTTTACCAAATAAATGTTTTGAATAATATAAAATTTTTATTTAGCACATTTTGTCATGCTCAGTATCTACTGGGAGCTGTGCTAGGTAGGGGATGGCCTCTGGCAGTGACTAGGACAAGCATGGTCCTGCCTTCAGAGAATTCACAGCTGAGGGCCTTGAAGAGGGAAGGATCAGAGATCAGTCAGCAAACCTTTTGTGTAAAGGGCCAGCTAAAGATATTTTTGGCCTTTCAAGCCATATGGTCTCTGTCACAATTCTGCCATTGTAGCACAAAAGCAGCCATAGGCAATATAAATGGATGTGACTGTGTTCCCAAGACAATTATTTACAAAAGCAAGTAGATATGGCCCACCAGCTGTAGTTGGCAAATTCCTAGTAGACCTCAAAAGTTTTTTTTTTCCTTAGTGGAAGGAAACAGACCCAGAAAACACAATTCTGTCTTAAGACATGGGGAGAGATCTGGGCTGAGAACTACATTGCCAGTACAGTGTCTTCTTAGATTAAAGGGTAACATGGTCATCAACTGAAGATGAGATACAATAAAATTCGTGAATTACCCTGAGAGAATACTTCCCTTGCTTATGATCCTACTGCATTTGATGTCTCATCTGAGAACAGTTCTTCAGCGATTGCAGGCAATTTTGATATATGGAATTATGCCTGATGGAAATTGAGATACAGGATGAGCGAACAGGTGCTGAGTAACCCAAGCTCAACCCGGAGCTGAGCAAGTCAGCTCCCTCTGGCAAAGGGGATCTCAGTTGGCCTAAAGCCATCTTAAAAGCACTAAGCATTGTGTTCTTCAGGACTTAAAAATGTGAACATTTTCTGCTTCCGCTCGTATTTTTCAATGAGTCAAGTGCATGTATGGGAAGGTAAGAAATTCAGGCCTCTAGACAAATGTAGATAAAGCCTAACAGTGCCCTGAGTCTCACAGGCAGAGATTCGGTCCTTTGACCTGTGACCGCTTTCCTTTCCCCTCCACACAGACCCAGTTATAATGCAATTACCCAGAGAGACAAATATATTAAATTTCACCTATTATTTCATATCGGGGTGGATACTCTCTAATACTTCCCTAGATGGAACTGGGCAGCAGGGAAGAATGCCACTTGGCCTCTCGCTCCGGGGTTGGGTGGCAGGTTGAAAGTGTGGGGGGATCCAATCCTGGGAAAGTGCTAGGTGTTTACAAACCACATCCATTTCCTTCCTTCTGCCAGTACTCTGCATGCATGGAAATATCACAGTCATAGTAAGGGGTACTGGGAGGCATAAGAAACCCCACAGGCGACCTTGATGTGATCAGCCATGCTCTCCCAGCAGTGTCAGAACCCCTGATCTTCCCTACTCCAAAATGAGCTAGTTCTGACCAGTCTTCTGAGGATTCAGATTCAACTTTAAAGTATGACCAGTTCTTCCAAGTCCCTTAAGGTAAAATTATTAGAGATACACTTCAATATATGAACTCATATATGAAACTGGGATCTAAAAAAAAAGATAATTACAAGGCAATCACCTGCTTCATAAAAACCATGTGTGGTAAAAGTTAAGATATTTCTAATACATTAAAGTTTCATTAAACTACTACTTCCGAAAATAATGCTTTCCCACTCCCTAATTAAAACTTGGATGTTTTCAGAAACACAGTATTGATACTTTTTCCCAGCGCATTGGGAAACTGTTCGATGAATTATGGTTTAGTTTACTCAAAAGCACTCTACTTAGTTGTCTCAATTAAGGAAAGTAAATGTCCAAGGAAGTCTAACAAAAATAAAGAACACTGAAACTATTAGAATAACATAACTGCATGATAATATTGAAATAAAGCAGTGTTATCCTGTGTAAAGATAGCATGGGCTGGGGGCAGAAGAGGGGTGCTTAGAAAGGAGAAAGAAAACACCAGAAATTTTGATTAAGCAGAACTCAGACTCCTAGCAGAATTAACAGGATTGGGGGTGCAATTTCCGAGAAAAGTATTCATTTTTGTTGTTTTGCTTTGTTTTTAAACACCTATCATTGATTTGTAAAGCACCAAAAAAAAAAAGTCTTGAGTATGTCTTAAGGCCATTATATTCAAATAAACCTTGCCCTGGCAGGTTTGGCTCATTGGTTAGAGTGTTGTGTCGGCCTGTGGACTGAAGGGTCCTGGGTTCGATTTCGGCCAAGGGCACATACCTCAGTTGCAGGCTCAAGGCAACCAATCGATGTGTCTCTCTCGCATTGATGTTTCCCTTTCTCTTTCTCTCTCTCCCTTCCACTCTCTCTGAAAGCAATGGAAAAAATATCCTCAGGTGAGGATTTAAAAAAAAAAAAAAATTATAAACCTTATTGAGGCTCCTAGAGCTATATGAGATTTCCTATCCAGAAAAACGACCCTGACATCCTCAGAGACCTAATTCGCTTTACTCACTAAGACAGAAAATCACATTCTAGATAGATTTTCAATTGAAACTAGGCAAAGGCTTCTGATTAAGTTTCAATTAACCCCTACTTAAAGTTATTCAATATACATCACTCCTGAGACCCTTGTGTGGGATCAGTTACGACCAGATGAGCACAGTTCACTGGATAGGTCAACACATCATGCCCTCTTTTATTTAAATATTTTTAAGTTGATTTTTAGAGAGAGAGGGAGAGGGAGAAAGAGAAATATCCATGAGAGGGGAACATTGATTTGCTGCCTCCTGCATGCCCCAACTAGGGATCAAGCCCCCAACCCAAGCATGTGCCCTCACTGGGAAATGAACCTGTAACCCTTGGGTGCATGAAACGACACCCAACCAACTGAGCCACACTGGCCCTCTTTATATTTTATGCCTTCTTTATATTTTATGTTCCCACTGGAGAATCTGAAAGACTTGCCCACACACAGATTTGGCCTGGGCCTCCCAGGGTTGGTCTCAGCAAGTGATAAAGATAATAGCGCATTCCACCCATCCACCTTGGGTTGGTACACACCTGGAAGAATTTCATCCCACCAGATTTTCACATAATCATCCCGGTCGCTCCTTGACTGCTCATGGTAAAATCCCAAAGCATGAAGGATCTCATGTTGGATGATGGCCTTATAGTCACACCTCTGGCCGATGGAAAGATTCTGCCCCACATGTTGGTCACCAACCTCAGACCAGCACCTTTAAAGAGAAGAGGGAAATTTTCTCCTAGGTAATGCTTAAGTGGCTGTAATTCATAGGATTTCAGAACTCAAATGAGAAGGAAGTTAGGTTTATTTTAAAAGAAATTATCAATAGTGTTTTCATATGCTGATGGGTCAATAATAAGAGACTGGTTAATTTCCTGGAGGGATGTTATGCAGGCTTTAAAAAACGATGGTCTATTATAAAAGTGTCCAATTAATCCTAACAATGCATCAGGTAGAAAGAAGTAAAAATGGACATTCTTCCTCACCTCCACAAATCCGTAGGGTATTTCAAAGAATAATATAATAGGTTTTAGACCAAAATATTGCCTCTGAGTGATGGCTGTGGTTGACTTTGATTTTCTCCTTTATATTCTAATGAATTTCCAAATTTCCTATAATGAGCAGATGTAAACTTTATGATCATGAGATAGAGCCTCATTATTGGCAGCACAGACCAGGCTGCCTAGTTATTTCTGAAGGGCTCCAGACAAGGAGGACCCAAAACCTCCCTCAGAAAACAATGAACTCAGGAACTGCCAGCAGATACTCTAAATTCCTCATGCTATATAGCCTTTTGCCCATTTCCCTCCAATTATTTTGGTCTTTTCTCATTAATCTGATTTTCCACCTCTATTAGCAAACCCAAAGCTTTCCACAAATGGTCTCCTTACTTGCTTTAAGCTACAGAACAAGAATCTATACTCCAACCAGGACCCAACAGAATAAAATATTTGCCAATAGTTTTAAATGCTACCAGTCGATTGCAAGTTTCTTGGTGACAATCACATTGTCTCACCTGCCATTGTTTTTCCCAAGATTGCTAACACCATATACCTTCAAATGCTAATGGATTTGGTCTCTACTCAAAGATGGATTTTAATTATAACAACTTTATTAAGGTGTAATTTGCATATCATAAAATTCACAATTTTTAAGTGTACAATTCAATGATCTTTAGTAAATTTATTAAATTGTGCAAACATCCAACATGATCAGCTTGCCTTTCTGACAGTAAAATTTCAATACCAAATTGGAGATTACTCTGCAAAATATCCACAAACCACAGGAAGCATTTATTATTTCTCTCTTTTTTAACATCCCTTCCCCAACAGAAAGATGTGAGTTGCAAAAATACTGTAACTTCACCACTCTGAATCTTTGACCTTGTCTTTTTGAAAGAACCCAGTTAACCTCCACCTTCAAGGGACCAGGGTCCTGAAGGACTTGGGGCACTTTAGGCCAGCCCCTTGCCCAGACCTTTTCCTCCCTTTTCCCCCTTTTCTAATTTAAATGTAGCAGAGACAGCTCCTGGCCACAGGCAATGAATCCCCCAGATTCAGGTTTTATGGAGAATGTTCCTCAAAGCTGACTCAACCCTTCATTAGGTACCTGGGGACTGAGTTACAGACTGAAAAGAAGCCAAGAGAATTTTACTGGGAAGAGGAGAACTTTTAGAAAGTGATCATTTTGACTTTATTTTAAGAGAAATAATTTCTTTCCCTTTATTAAAAAAAGTTATTCGAAAAGTGGTAAAAAATAGAAATTAAATGTGTAAAGAAAATGAAAATTGTCAATGAATAATGAGAGGCGCTGGTACTATTTTGAAGCTCAGAGGTTGCCAAGGGACAAGAGGAGACGTCAAACGCAGAGAACCCCTAAAATCTGTGCTCTCGGCAAGGCCTGAGGGGTACTTTAAACCTTTCCCCTTCACATAGAAACAAACTACCCTTATCTGGATATTGGTTATTTCCATTTCTACGACCCATAAAACCTCATACAATAAACTACATGTCCAGAAACAAATCCACTATCCTGGTCCCAATCTCAGTGAATGAGGGTTCCCAGCCGCCAGTCACCCAGGCCGAAAGCCTCGGTCATCCTTCCCTCCCCTCCTCACATCAGCTGATCGCTAGGCTCCCACAAGCCGCCTCTTCACATGTTTCTAGTGCCCACTCTCTTCTTCATTTCAACTCCCTCTTTTCAGTGTAGGTCCCTTTCATTTCTCGCCTGGGCGATGGGGAGAGAAATGATAAAACTTGAATCCTTAACTGGTCTCCTGCCAACAGTCTTGCCCAGCTTCAATTCTTTACCCGCTGTGGCTAGAATAGTCTTTCTGAAGCGGAAAATGAACATATTTCGGCACGAGAGCTGATCCCCTTACACGTCGCAGCCTGTGCCCAGGCTCCTGCTTGTCTTCTGGGCTCAGCACTCATCACTGCCCTTTGCAAGCACAGCTTCAGGCATCCTGAGCTTCCCGAGCTCTCAGCTAAGCCAGGTTTCTCTCACGTTTGCTCCCTTCTTTCTCCCTTCCCCTCCTCCTTCCTCCGCCTCTTCTCCAGCACTCTCTTCCCATGCCCCATTGTCCTCCCCTCCCCTCCCCTNTCCCTGACACATCACCTCCCACTGTGTTAGGAATCCTGTTTTCTGCCCTCCTACAGCCCAAGGCATGCACCACAGCCTATTAGAATCACTTCCCTGTTGTCCCTTCACACACACACCCCCCCACACACCTGCCAGCTGCAAACCTTGTGGGTCTGAGGCTGTGTCTTTGTGCCTACGGAGCAGCATTCTTCCTGGTACCTAATAAAGGCCCACGTCTATTTCTTTAAATAAACAAATGAGCTAAGAAAAGAATCACTTAGGTAAGTAAGGTACTTAACTTGCATCTAAGTAGTCATCAGAATTTTACTTTTTTTTAACTGCTATTATTTGCATACCTCTGTCTTAGGAGGCTAATTTCCTTTGTCATCTCTGTTGTCCACCCATGATTAACAAAACCCCGCCATCAATCAGAACTAAATCCAGGCGACACCTAGAGGCAGTGATGGGAGGGAACTGCGCCTGAGCGAAGGCCTCCTTGCCGGGCTTGTGGACACAGAGTCACAGCAGGTGGCAGCTTTGTTTCCAACCTCCTCTAGCCCAGGTTGGCTGACATAAACACCGCTGAAGAAAACTGGCTTTGTTTTTCTTGATATACCCCTTTTTTCTTCTTTAGAAATAAATAAACATGAAGGGCAAATTTACCTCTAGAAATTTTTAAAGAGTTCCAGTCAACGGAGAACCATAATTTAAAATAGTACCATAAAGAGAGTATAATTTATACTTTAATAAACTTGACTTTGGAAAAGCAATGTAATTTAAAACATGACCTAAACCTAAGAAAAGAATTGAGATCAATCTCCTTCGGGCCCAGAGGTTTCCAAACAGCTCGTTTTCTACATAATATGTTAAAAATATTGTTTAATTTAAAAATTCCCAATGAAAGATTTTAATTTGCTTTTAGTTTCTTTCCAATTTCTACTCTTAGCCTTTGAAAGAGACATGTTGCTTTTTATAAACCAAAAGGTGTATGATTGTCACAGTGTAAAGTTTTCATACTGACCCGTCAAACTGCTGAAAGATGATGTAGGAGCGCTCTCCTTCATAGGGCTTGAAGTCCACACAGGACTTGAGGCGGAACATCTCAAAGGCATAGAGAATGGCTCCTTTGGCATTCAATTCTGCAGAAATCGGCAAGAATATCAGTGAGCATCAATGATATCTTGGATGATACACACAACATAGTTTAGAGAAAATCTTGCCACCACATGAAATCCACAGAGGTCCACACAGCATTCACCAAGATGGACCATAAGTGAGACCACAGAGCAAGTCCCAGTCAACTTCAAGAGATTGTAATCTCATAGAATCTATCCTCTGACCTCAACAAAAACTCGAAATCAATAATAAACTATCTAGAAGAGCTCCCAATATTTGGAAATTTAAAAACACACTTCTAGTTGACCCATGAATTAAAAAAAAAAAAAATCACAACAGAAATTAGAAAATATCTAAAATAAACTTTAATAAAGATACAACACATCAAAATTTGTGGAAAACAGTAAGACCAGTGCTTCAAAAAAATGTATAGCTTTAGATGTCATATTATAGCATTATGTTATATTTTAAATATGAAGATTAAAAATCAATGATATGAATTTCCACCTTAAATACAAAAAAGGAGTGCAAAGTATACCTGATATAAGTAGAACAAAGGAACTAAAAAAGATAAGAGCTGAAAGCAACAAAACAGAAAGCAGAGAAACAAGAGAAAATTAACAAGTCAAAAACTTGCTCTTAGAAAAGATTATTATGCTTAGCTGGTGTGGCTCAGTGGTTGAGCATCAACCTATGAACCAGGAGGTCATGGTTCAATTCCTGGTCAGGGAACTTGCCCAGGTTGCAGGCTTAATCCCCAATAGGGGGCGTGCGGGAGGCAGCCAATCAATGACTCTCATCATTGATGTTTCTATTTCTCTCTCTCCCTCTCCATTCCTTCTCTGAAATCAATAAAAAAAATAAATAAATAAGTAAATAAATAAATAGATTAATAAAATCAATACACAGATTAAAAAAGGCAAGTCACAGACTGACAGGAAATATTCATTATATACATCTGACACAGGACTTTATAATATATAAATTTCTTCTACAAATAATGAAAAGACATGAAATAATAAAGATTCATGAAAGAGTTGGGCAGACACTTCATAAAAGAAGATTCACAAATGGCCAACTGCACAGGAAAATGTGCTAAATACCGATATTCATTAGGAAAATGCAAATTAAAATCACAGTGAGACACTATTTACAACCGCTCAAATGGCTACAATTAAAAAGATTAGCACCACCACTGTTGGTGAGGTCATGGAACAAATGGGACACTTACACATTGCTAGTGAGGTGAAAAATGGCATTGTCGTATAAAGTTAAACATACATTGACCATATGGTCAAGCAATTGTATTCCTAGACATTTATCAAAGGTAAATAAAAACCATATGCCACACAGACTTGTATGAGAATGACTGCAGCAACTTTCTTCACGATAGCCCCAAACTTGAAAAAACAATGTCCATACGTAGAAAAAAATGGGTAAATAGTTGCAATATATTCATACAAAGGAATATTACTGAGTAATAAAAAAGAATTAACTACTGATCCACAACAATATGGAAAAAATTTAAAAACATGTTAAGCAAGAGAAGGCAGATACAATAGAGGACATACTATGTGATTCCATTTATCTGTAAATCAGGTAAATTAATCTATAGGAAAAAAATTAGAATGGTAGTTTTCTCTAGGGGAGGGGGGATGAGGATTGGCTGGAAATGAGCACATGGGACTTTCTGGACCTTATACATTTTTTCAAAAGCCAATGACTTATACACTGAGTTGTGTATTTCACTCTATGTAAATTGAATAAAGGGACTGTGCACAAATATTGACCTCTGAGTAGTGTGTTCACTTTTCCCAAGGGTAAAGGTGATTCTCATGTGAGGCTGCTTGCGAACTACCTCTGTACCCTTACTGCTGCTGCCTTATTTCAGGCCACCCATCTTCAATCTTGCTCTCCACTCATCTGTCACCTGCCTTGCAGCTAAAGAGACCTTGCTACTCAAGGTGTGGCCAACAGACCAAGAGCACAGCCTCACCTAGAGCAGTGTTAAGAAATGCAGGATCTTGGGCCCCACCTGGACCTGCTCTGCGTTTTAACCAGCTCCTCAGGGAACCCTAACTTCGAAGTCTGAGAAACACTAAGACCTCCCAGAGGCATGGTGAAAGCAAACCAAATATCAGGTGAAGACAGTAGTGAGTGAGAGATAACAGAGACTCAATAAGTATGTCTGTGTTTCGACAGGAGGAGGGTAGCTCTGGTGTGACAAACAGGAGGAATTGTCATGGGGGGAAAAACGACAGCCTTTAAAGCTGCTGCTTCTTAAATCACAGTTCCGATAAATACAAGTGCTCCGTGAATTTGCAAGTGTGTTGGCAAACACTGGGGAAAAACAACTCAGCTCATTTTTCCATAAAATAACTCAGAACAACAGCCTTTGTTTATATCTAGCTCTTCTCCAGGAAAGGGAGCGGAGGCAGCTCTGATAAATTGGTGGAAAACTGGGAAACACAGTAACATCTCCTGAGAGCGGAGCAGCCTGGCAGCCCGTTGGGCCCGAGCAAGCTTGTCCTGGTTTCCCCTCTGGCTCATCTGCCTCTGTCTACCCTCTGGGCCTCATGGGTGTTGCATCACTGTGGTGCTCAGACAGTGTCCACACATGGCTTCTAAAACTTGCTTATTTCCACCAAGTATTATTTCCAACAGTGAGTAAAATATAACTTAGTCGTTTATCTTAAGGGAGAAAAAAGAATATACTTTATGAATACTGAGGAATGAGAACCATAAAGTGTGTAATACAGACTTTTCTGTTTCTCACAAACGTGGCATGTTTGTCTTGTAACAAAGAGGGACGATCAATAGGCCGAAAATATTATCCTTATACCGTATTTAGATTCACCTAAGCAAACTGTTACTTATTTTTAAATATGTCTTTATTGATTTCGGAGAGAGGAAGGGAGAGGGAGAGGGAGAGAAAGAGATGGAAACATCAGTGATGGGAGAGCATCGATCAGCTGCCTCCTGTGTGCCCCATACCGGGGATGGAGCCCACCAGGGCACGTGCCCTGACCGGGAATCGAACCCCGATCTCCCGGATCCTAGGTCAGTGCTCAACTGCTGAGCCACGCCCGTCCAGCATACTATTATTTAAAGTGCAAGTTTTTCATTGCTGTGATGCCAAATGATATTTCACTGTGTTTTCATTCTTGATGGTGCTTCTGGTATTATTAAGATGTCAATGTCTCCCGCCTTTTAAAAATTATTTGCTATTCTGCATCTTGGGCTGACCTTGCATTGGTGTAATGTCATGCCTCTCGTCCCAGGAGGTGAAGAATGGTCAGGGTTTGGAAACCCTCTTAAGCATTGCTGCTTACTCCCAATCTGAAGCTGATGAACAGGAGGAGGGGGTGGGAGAAAAGCTAAGCCCGAAGTAAGAGCAATTAGTATTACCCAGATTGTCTGCCAGAATGTAAGGGATGGGGAACTTCCACCTGGCGCTGGGGTCTCTCAGCCCATTCCTGGATTTCTGTGAAAAAACAAAGGCAGAGGTCGCAGGAAGACTCATCCTCAGGTCCCCTCCTTCACCAGACTCTCACACCACAAATAATCTGTCACACGAGTCAGTCATTCAGTAGCGTTTGTCTTCTGATCATAAAAGTGATCCTTTATTACAGACAATTTGGAAAATGTAGAGGAATTATTAAGAACAAAATAAAGGAGACCTGCAATTCCCCCCAAACTGAAATAGCCACTTTAAACATATCCATGCATTTCCTTCTCTCTCATCCTTCACTTATTAAGAAAACTGGGTGGATAAAGCAATTTAATAATTATAGACTCGTGTGATGTCTACTAATTTTTTTATCTGTTTTTGCCACCACTGACCATAGTGGAAGTCCTTGTGGGTACAGATTATAGATTAGATTCTTTCATCTCCCCCACGGTGCCCAGTGCCCATCCCAGGGCCCACAGAGTGGAGGCTGGCAGGACATCACAGCCAGTCCAGAGGGACGCTATTGTGTCGTGGGCAGGTACTCACCGGCAGGACGATGTCCCCTTCAAAGAGGTCCAACCCCGCAGCTAGACATGGATTTAAAAACAAAAAAAAAAAGAAATATTTGAATGAGCATTACTAAAAAGCATCTCTCATCATTAAATCCATCTTTTCCATTACAAATCTTTTAATTATTCATCTTTAGGTGGCAAAACTTTTTGAAACAATGCAAAAATTCCCTCTAGGGAAGCAGATGTATATAGCCAATAAATATCATATATTCTCACATCCTCTGTTTTTATTTTTGGAACAAGAAGCTTTGTCCAAGCATTTTAACATGAGTTGGAAGAGATCTTTTTGATGAGTGACTCCAAGCCTGTCATACTTCAGTGGGTGAAATGGATTCCTGCGACAGGAATTGAGGTACGAGGTGGTCAGCTCTGCCTGAGCTTTAAAACTTCCAACTTCCCACCCAAGACCCCTTCCTCCTGACCCTAGGCAGGTGGGTTGATTTTGCTCTTTCCCATGAAAACCAACGGTACTCTCCAAGCCAAGCAGCTATGGCTGTCCCTGCATCGGCCCTTTTCTCATTTTCTTGATTTCCTTAACTTCCAGAACCTAACCGACATGTAGGACAACAGCCCCATCAACAGCAGGTGGCTGACACCCCCCCCCCC